AAAAAACCACTGTTGAGGAAATGTTTTGCTTTTGGGAGCCAAGTTGGTGACTTATCCTGGCGCTGCCTACCCCAGGTACACAAGACCTCGTGGTACATGCTGCACTATGGTGGCAAGACCCCGAAGAGGCACTATGCCTTTTCAAACAGCAGGCATGTGGCAAAGCTGAACGCTGGAAAGCTGACGGGGTGGGCCAAGCGGAAACGGGCTCTTGAGTCTTTGGGGCAAGGCACCAAGCTGGTTGACAAGTACGTGGATTCCCAAGGGAAAGCTAGGTGGAAAGGCAACAAGGAACTTCGTGGAAGTGAGTTCTTGGGCTTAATTGTGTAAAAGCGTTGCTCTGACTTGTGCATGGGTGGACAGCCCAACTTAGTTGTTGCTATTGACCCCCCCATTTGGATTGCACAGTGTGGTTCAACACTGCGGATGGCCCTTCAGCTTCAAAAAGTCCCCAGATTCTGTCTATATATGTTCAATTGTGGTGGGCTTTTAATCTTCTATCCTTGTGGGTGTCTGCACTTGGCCAAAGAGAATCCAATTTGCCCAAGCGGCCCAGGAACTATCCGGCAAAGTTTGGCTGCAAATTGGTAGAGCTGTTTGACCTCATGAAAGCGGAGAAGAGTGGACTGCCCGAGCTTCCATCTGATCTCCCTTCAACTGAGGAAATCTTTGAAAGCATGACGTTTGAAGATAATTGGTCTGAGTCCTGGGTAGTGGAGGTTTGCCATTATTTACGAGGGGGTAAGCATTTGCGGATTCCCCCAAGCTTTGTAAAGCTACTGCCAAAAAGGCTGTAAGCTTTTATGGCACGGTGCATATAGTTGTACTGTTGTTGTTCGGGCCAGAAAATCACAACATGACTCTTAAGAAGAACAATATGGTTTCATACCGTTCGGAACATCAATTTAGAGTTTTCTACCCATAATTCAGCGTAATCGTAATCCAACGTAATTCATCGTAATTACACCCATAATCAGAAGTAAATTTACCTATGTTTTTAGTCAAAAAAACATAGGTTTTGGGGTCGTAACTCGTAATGTCGCGTAATCCACCGTAACAAAGCCGTAATCAAAATGTAAAATACCCATAATTTACTAGCGTAATTTACCCATAATTTGGAGGCGCGTAATTTTACCGTAATTTACCCATAATTTGGCGTAATATACCCATAAATTTTTATGGGTATATTTGCTAAAAACCTAGGTTTTTTGATGTGTTTTTCATAACTTGTATTATAAGATTTTATGAGGTTTTATATGATTTGTTCAACATCTAACATGGTTTTGTGTGATTGTGACTGGGGCCTGAGCTTTTGACAACAGTCTCTAATGAAACAGCAAAAGTTGATTGCAGAAATTCATCGGGTTTGCTGCATTGTGGTGCATCCCAATTGGCACTCTTGAACAGTGGAACCGTGCTTTGAGAAAACAGTGGTGTCACTGCTGAAATCCTGCACTGAAAGCATGGTTGAATCTCTGGCAACACCGGGCTAACATTGGTTCACATGAGCTTGATTGTCGAGTGATTTTAGCTTTTTGGACAAGATTTCCAAAACAGGTGTTAGGCGGAACTGCTCCACATGAGCTTTGGTCGTCCTGCGTCGTTGCACACCATGGTGTCCCGGACCAATTCCACCAGTGAACTTGGTCGTGGCCTATCACATATCCTTTTGGATGCAAAGCTTGATCAGTTGCCGACTGATTTGGCATCCCTTGAGGATGGGTCTGGGAATGGGAATGGCGCACTGTTTGCAAAACAAAGAATGGCTGGACCTATCAGTGCTAAATCCAAAGTCTCCCATGCGCCCTCCAGGAGCTTGACAAGTCATTGGCAGACATGGAGGCATTGGAATCATCCGTGGGGGGGCTCATAGCTGGATGTGGTTCCACTTGATTGTTGGAAGACAATAAATATATAGTGTTGTTCAGTTCAGGGGTGCCCAACTCTTTGTTGAGAATGGGCTGGAGTCCTACAGGTGTTGAATTGATCAATGGCTTGGGTGAACACTGTAGTGATTGTGGATAGATGCTCTAGGGGTTCAGAGGGGGCACTCCATCCCAAAGCAGCGCTTCTTCCGTCTTCAAGCCAAGCTGCATGAGGCTGCGGCTCTGAAGCAGCTGGAGATGCAATTGCAGGTTGCCAGACTGCATCTCTATCCTTGATTGTGACAACCAAACATCACTGACCACACCAGGTAATGGGAGTTGAGTGCCATGGAATGAAATCACTCTCACTACCTTGGATGTTGGGTGGATAGGGGTAGTAGAATGGGTCAGTCACTCTGCCTGGCTTGCTTGCTCAGGCTTCTCCTCAGCAGAGTGGGTTGCCTATGGAGGTGGATGAGACACAGCCCGCAACGGAATCCCAGGTCAGAGTGTCGTTGGGCAGTGGAGATAGGGAGGGTGCCACTTCTGAAAGCCCAGCATCCCCATCATCGACTTTACCATCTTCTGCGTCGCAAGCTGCGGTCCTTGGGCAACATGGTACAGCTTCACCCTAGTGTGGTTCCTTTTTTTCACAACACAAGTATGGGAGTCAGAATGCGCGTGGAACATTGCAAGCCTGTCAAAACATTTTCCATGAAACATAAGAGGTTGCACTGTTGGCCCAGTACTGCGCTATATGGTCTTGCCTTGCTTGTAAGGTTCAACTTCGTATCAAGGCGCTGTGTGAAAGGGGTGACCTGGATCCATCTACCGCTGCCCTGATTCTTGGGCAGGATGCTCCTGATGTTGCGCAGGATGAAAACGAAAAGAAACGCAAGAAGGCGGAGGCTGTTGAACCCCCAGCCACAGGGGATGCATCGCACCCTGATGGAGAACCTGGTGAATCCCTAGATGTTTTCCTGGAACGTGCAAAAAAGATCAAACTGGCTTCTTGACTGATTTGGTTTGTTTTTACCATTTATCATTAATTGGTATATGAGTCATCTGAGGTTTCCCATTTAGAGGTCCTTGGGGTATGGCATGTGTTCCTTCAAACTTCTTCCCACATGAACTCTGAGGCAGATGATGCACTCAAGGCCAAGTTGAGACGGCTATGTCAGGAAAACAAGCATGGCAAGCTGCAGGTTCCTTCTTGGTTGCATGAGATGTGGAAGACTGGCGACAAAATGCAGCTTGCACGTCAGTTTGAAGCATGCAACTTTGACAAGGAGACCCTCTAATAGGTTCCATAGCTGAGCGTCGGAAAACCATCAGTGCAGAACTTGTTCCAATCTCCAATCCAGTGTATGTTGCCTGGCAGGAACGGTTCATCAAGTTTAAGCAGACAACTTACATGAAGAGTAAAAAGGACCTTGCTGATGTATCCGTTGGATGGTACAGTAAGGAGGATATGGTCAAGGTGCTGAAATGGAATGCGATTCTTTTCTGCAACATGCGCATGTGAGTGAGTATTGCAACAGTGTTGAATTCACTTTTTTGGAACGTGTGACTACTTCTTGGGGAAACATGTTTTTTGTAAGCTCTGAGGAAAAAGGTGGCCGGTGCCATCAAGTGCTGCGAGCAAGATAAAAACAATTTGGTGAGGCTGGGGTACTGAAGTTGAACCACTGTAATTATATATTTGAAGTAAACTTGATTTACTGGTTGTCCAGTAGCAGTGTACAAACACGCTGTGGTATATATGTTGGAAGTGCTTCGACATAGTATATACATGTATGTCCCAAAAATAGATTCAGATTGGTGTTTCATTTCCTAGCCCTTCCAGCAGGCATTGCAAATATGGGGGCGAGGATGAGTACTACATTGAGGTGCGTGAGACAGGAAACCGCCAGCAGGAGAGTACGCTTATGGAGCAAATTGTTGAAACAATCCAGGACCGACAATGCTTAACTGTCACCAAGTGTCATAGGATCTCTTCAGCTTGAACTGCTAGATGCCAGGGTTGCCCAGCAATGTCCAACATTGCCATGCCTGGCAGGAAGATGGTGGGCCATCTCTGGGGCCTGTTGATGCTAAGGGGGGCTGAACTGATGCAAACGCGTGCTAGGGCGATGTCTGGTGCTGCAGTTGCTGCCACCAGTGAGGTGGGATAATATTATGCACACATGGTGTCCATCTTACAGGTCTTGCAAACTGCCCTTTCCAATGTGGTGTGGGTGGGTCAATGACATGGATCTTTAAACAACCCATTTGGATTGAGATGAAACATTGGATTTCTCATGCGTGAGGCTGCTCGGGCAAAGGAAGTCTTCGCCAAACATGTTGAATCAGTGCTGGCAAAGGCTGCCAAGATCAGGTCATTGGTGAGTGATCTCCAGAAAAACTACAATGAAGACATGACTGCAAGAAAGTTTCTAGACAGCAAGCCTGCAGCTTCCTTCATAAATATGTTTTGAACATGTCTTGCATTCACCGGTTGATCTGCATTGGCCTTGACCGAATCCAATGCCCAGGGCTGTGGTGCAGCTCAATGCGGATCTGAACGTCCTGGATGGTGAGTACAACAAGCTATCGGAGCATGTGGCACAGGGTGAAAGGGATGACCACAACCAAGCGTAGCTCAACAGCACATGTTTTCAATTGGATGACACTTAAGAAATTGCTGATTGTTTACAAACTGTTTTGTTCTGTTGGCAGACTCGACCGTGCGCTGTTATGTTTGTAGGTGGAGTCAAGCTGCTGAGAAAATGATGAAGGCTTCCACATTTGTGTGCCTAGGATGCACACTTAGTCATCTCAGTCAACCTTGCCCCAACCCAACAATTTTGAGCACATGGCCAGGTGCACGAAAGTTGCCCAGAATGAAGCCAAGATTCGGCCTGGACCTCAAAATTCTTTTTGGTCAGCTTTGATCTCCAGCAGGGCATGGATTGACACTGGATGTCCTTGGC